ACTGTAATAAAAATTTTAAATCAAAATAGTAGTATCTATATAATAAATACAATTATAACAATTATAAAATAATTTAAAATAAGTTCATTAATTATAATAATAAAAAAACCATCATATTTACAAAATTCATTCGAAATTACATTTTTATCTCCATATATATAAAATTATGTATAACACAAAATTCATTTTAAACGATCATCCCTTGATTAATACCTATTCGTTTGGTTTAATTGTAATATTATATAAATATCTTACATGAAATTACTGATCTTATTGTCTATTAAATTATTAAAACAAAAATTATCGTATGATACTAAGGCTGCCCAAGTATTTACAATGTATATTTACTTTTATTTATTTATACCTACGTTAAAATGCGATAAGCAAATACATGTATATCTCGTTAATAATAAAACAAATGTTTACAACTTCAAGATAAGTACTTAGGTCTAAAAAAACAGTTTTTGGCAAAAACATTTAAAATGCGATTTTTAGCTCATGAACTTGTGGCACAAATTTTTTATATTATATTACATATATTTTAATATGCGTTTTACAATTTTACTTTTTTTTTCTTTGTTAGACTTTATTTTAAAATGCTATCTTAAAATATTTATTCAAAACCAACAAAAACGTGACTTTATTGTTTTTTTTTCTTTTCAAATAATTCCAATCTACGTATTATTTTTTTTGTTAAAATATTATATAATAATATTATCATTTCACTTTTTTTATGTATTGTTATATTTATATAACTCTCATATATAGAACAAAAACAATGAACACTAGATATTGTTTCGATTGCCTATGCGATTGTTATTAAGTTATAAGGTTTTGTAGTCGTTACTTATTTGTTGTTTTTATTATATTTTAGTGTCCATCCAGAGAAAATATTTGATGTTGGCACGTATATGTAAATTATTCCTACCTTCATCTGTATTAAACAAATACAAATTAAGATTAAAAAAACCTATAAAATAAATATGAATTATGGGTGTTTAACCTAACTATAACTATAATCTTAAATATTGATTATTTAAATATTTAAAAAATGTATTTTAAGTATCATTTAAAAATCAAAATTTGACTTAACAGAATTTTGAAGAAAAAAAAACTAGGCTTATAAATTAATTTATGTCATAAAACCGATTAATTTGAATTCTCGAGTTTATTTATATTTAAAAACAAAATTGTTTTATTGTATTTCTTTACCTTCTCTTCTAATTATTGTTAACGTTATCACATTGTTATTCCTCGCGTTAAACTGGTTTTAGATAATCATAAACAATTTTATGCGTTAAAATTTTTATGATGCCTATTCAGATACATTAATTTTCAATTTTATTTTAACGTTAAATATCAATGTCAAATAATAACGACAAAAACATTGAAAATCCTTACTTATGGTATACATAAATATAAACTTATTGTGATAAATTATAAAATATAATATAACAATATTATACAGTAATAACGACGAATTATTATAACATTATTATACAATTAATTATGTAATAGCAAAAAATATAGCTTTACTTCGTCTTAGAACAGAATAAAAATGCTTTTCGGATGGTCTATTTAGGAATATTAAACCATAAGTATAGACTATTCGAGCTGTGGTCCATTACACATAATATAATATTTGACCACTGGGCTCTGACCACGCTTAGAACACATTTATTTATCGTTGTTATCTAAAAGTTTCTATTTTGACATATTAATAATTATCATGATTGGTTATTAAACGTCGACAGTAATGCGCGGTCATTGCAATTATGGTTCAGTATAAAAGAGACAATGTCAAACACTGTCACCTCTAATGCTAATCGATTAAATTATTCGAACTTTAACCATGGAGTTTTAAAACTATTTTACAATAATAAATATGAATTTAACTCATTGTTCAGCCATTAAAATTAAGATAGATTTAATTAAGTTTTATACTGTTAAAGTACTGAATTCCAGATCAATTATCAACTGTTGACAATTAAAAATATAATAATATAAATATATATCTAATTTTTAAATAAAGAATTTTAGTTTTGACTATGTGTTAGTTTTGAGTCAAATTTAAAATTTAAAATTAAATAATACATATATATATATATATAGGTAATAAGTATATATCATATATACGTTGAGTTTACTATACACTTACTATTAATAAAATTTCCCAATGACAAATTGACAATTATTTAAATGTCAAAACTACTTTGAGTTAAGAAATTATATTAATTGTTAAATTGCAAAAATTACAGATTGAAAATATTATCAAAACACATGGGTTATAAAAATATATTATTTATCTATATGATACCAAATTATCAATTTATAAAGAGTTTCAAATTTAATATTGTATTCTCATAAGTAAGACCTAATAAAGATATATTTTTATAAATTAATAATTTTATTAATTATTAGTGGCTAAAATTTTTATTAAAAATGTGTATAGTTCATATATAGGTCATAAATCATAGATATACCAAGTTATATAGTGGTGAAGTATTAAAATTTTGAATGACAAACGTATCATGGTTTTTAGTAAAATGTAATATTTAACAATTTTAGTTGGAAATATATTTTAATATATAATTAATTTAATACCGTAAACAAAATTAATCAATAGTTAGATAGAAAATACTTCCAGAATAAAAGGCAAAGTGTTTAAAACCTAAAGTACCTCTATTTAAATTAAAAACTTCAATAGTTTAATACAACCTTTATATATTTTAAGTTTTAAACTACAATATTTTTACAATATTGATAATATTATTGTCAATTTACAGTTTGTGATGAAAGATATTCTATAAAGATACTAATTATTATCGTACACGCCTGATTATATAAGGCAGTTTAATATTAATAATGCTTGACGCGTTAAATGCGATAGACAGACATTTAAAAAAGAAAATAGACTACCTAAACTAGGACACACAAATTTTGATCAAACATAGCATACCAATATTAATAACCTTTTAAAAGTGCAAACATCGAACTCAATGACAAATCAATAATGTAATATCATTTAAGATTAAAATAATTTGCTTCTATTTTATTTTAATTTTTTTATATATAATTTTTTTGTAATTATTATTTTTATTTCTAATCAGAGTTGGTTTGATATTTTTTAAGTTAATTTTGTATTAGTTTATAAACTTTTAAAATATTCGAAAAAAAATAATAAATGCCAGATTAATTATAACATTTTAATAGAAGTATCTATTCAAATACTACAGCAAACGATATTAAAAAGTTGTTACTTATTACATCTTTGATAATCATTTATATTAAGCTGAAAAAAACTGAATAGTTTTATGGTAAAAGTTGTCAATATTAAAGTAATAATTATTTAAATTCGAAGTATCCTCATCCTAGCTTCTGGACTGAAATTCTCCGAAAAATGAACTCGATTAACAAAATAATGAATAATAAAAAAAATTAGCATTGATTTTTAGAATTCAAATAAACGGTTTTTTTATAATACAAAACTCTTTGGTATCAATATTCCTCGATAGTTATCTTAATAATTTTATTGCAATTCCGAGTTATAAACATATTTTTATCGATGAGTGCTGTAATGCCTGATGCAATATTAATACATTTTGAACTATTTGAATGATTTAGTTTACTGTAATTAAATATGTACCTAATAATATTAAGCTACAATAATTGGATAATGAATCAAATTAATAAATGGGCTATAATGAACTTGTAATTTGTCTATAAACATCAAATGGTACATAGATAGACTCTGACACGTGGTAAAAGGTAGCTACTACTAATAATGCTTTGATTAGAATTTGTTTAGGCTGCGATAATAAAACGACTATAATTTCACATTTTACTATTTTAACGTTATCCAATTCAAAATATCGTGTAAGGAAATTGAAATATTATTTTTAAATAATATAATATTCAATGACTGTGTATTATGGCTTTTGTCGTAGTATAACATTTTACACACGCTGTTTAATTATATTAGATACTTATTTATCTCAGAGTCTTACACTTATATTTATTAAAAACTTGATAGCAATACCGTACTAAAAATTTTAACTTTTTTAATGCATAATACATTCATTATTATAGTGAAAACCTAATTAGACGTATCTAATTATAAATGTTTCAATGATATTCAAAATCCAATACGTTAGTGTATCAAATTTCTATTCCTATAAATTAAAATTAATAAATCTTATGAACTAATTTGTAGCCCGTTTAATCATATTTTATTTTATTTTTACGTAAATCATATTTTTAGTTCATTTTTGATATTATACTCAAGTTGAAAAAAGTAATTAATTCTTTAGTAAATAGTAAGCATATGATGTTTCTTTTAAAATTTATAATTTTAAACTCAAATCATGTTAATTATTCTTATCTATGTACTGTTAATTATTACAACTTACAATAAGATTTACACACACTTTTTGAATTAATAGCTAATACACAATATTAAATAATATGTCTATTCTTATAACACTTTATAGACATTTTAATTTGTAAAATCATTTGATGAATTGAAATAAAATTCTATAATTATAATATAAACGTATTCAAATTTTTAATAGTTTCTCAAAAAAACTACATTTATCCATTTTTATTAAATAATTTTAAATTTTAAGCTGAATACAATATTATACGTTTAATAAACAGTATAAAATATTCAAACAAAAAAATAAAAATGTTTTTTTTTAGACTTTTATTATTTTTAAATACAAATATAAAAACGAATTCACTGATTAAACGGTTTTTAATCCACAAACCGTTATTTCATTACAATAAGCTATATAGGTAATTTCAACCATTTACATGGTCTATTTGTCAAAACAGTTGAATGATATTTAAAATTATACGTCCTGACTTAAATAAAATTCTTTATGCTTAAAATAATATTGTAATGACTTTATAAGTAATCAAGTTTATTGGTGAATATTATGAAACAAATAAAATATATTATTCATTTTTAATAAATAACGTAATCTGCATTTATTTTTCAGAACTTCAGTATTGTTCGTAAGCATATCTTTCATAGTGCTTATGGTCATATCATTGGCATGGCTTGTATTCTACTACATACAAAGGTTCCGATATATACACGCTAAAGACCAACTTTCGGTAAGTTATATCACTAAAATAAAATACAAATATATAATTTTTAAATGTTTTATATCCCTCGCTTAAAATACTAACTATTTGAATTTGATCAACTTACTAAGACGGTTATGTTAAACTTGTGCGTTTTGGTATAATGAATCAATAGTAAATTAACTATCTAATCTAAACTATTCTGAACACAATAAAAACAATTGCTTGAACTTTTCTTCGTTTGTTTTACACTTCATATCTTTTTATAATGCATAATGGGACAGCATAGTGAATAATATCAACTAAACTTGATTTTCAATCGATACGTATCTAAGAAATTATTAAGATAGATAATAGTTGAAGTTAAAGTTGAAACTTTTAAAAAACTGTTTTTTGTCTCAACAACATTATCCCGAGAAAAAATAAAACTAAATGAAAAAAACGTAACTGTAAAACTAATATAGGTATTAATCGCTTTATTTAGAATCTAAAAATTCGAATTGTAACTTATAATATTATTCAACAAGCAATGATTATTATCAATGTTGTTCGTTTAGGAGAAAACTTTTTAGTTTTTCTAAACTTAAACAAACATTGTGCAATGTGACGTGTACTGGTAGACGTAAATGTAAATGTGTGCGTATTATAATGATGTGTGTATTACTGTATGAGAGTAAAATAAAAATAATGTCGAATGTTTACAAAGACGAAACAAACCTATCCACTGAGAAATAAGGAAATGAAAGTAGAAGTACATTAAATACTCATTATAGCCGATCGACCAATGTATAAATTATTTTGAATGCGTTGTACAGAAGATCCGCGTGAAAATACTGGTACACCGTAAAACAACTCCCTATGCTATACGTCATTTTATAGGTAAATACGACAACATTTCGACAAGTTGATAAATTTTATTGTTGACAAAATTACAATGATTTGAAATAAATTTTATTCGATGAATATTCGACTTGATCTATTTATTATCGTCTACTTTCATTGTATATGCGTTATGTGCGATTATAAACTGCAACCAAATATACCTACACTTATATCAATAATATTCGAATAATCAATAAGTTTTTCAAATGTGTTACTGAACTATAAGATCTCTTAAAAATATTTACGAATAATAAAACACTTTTGTTTGTATTTTGGTTTCTAGAGACGATTATGTAATGCGGCCAAAAAAGCGTTGTCCAAGATACCTACCAAGCACATCAAAATGGATGACAAGGTAAAATTACATAAAATCACATAAACTATTTACGCGTACTGTTAGCTAAGATCATATTAGCTTTTATATTTATTTAACCAATAGATTCTTGGAACGAATTATGTAAATAATTTCTATATTTTGTTAATAAAACTAATACTTATGTATTCTCAGATAACCTGGTAAATGAACATAATATATATAACATAATAAATAATAATATATTCTGAGTATACGCCGTATACCATCTATTTATTTATAAGCTAGACAAATATATTGGTGAAAACGTTTAATAACATAAAACAAACTAAGTACGAGGTAAATCTTTACAAGTTATGAAAACAAGAACAAGATGAAAAGAAAAAACAGTTAGATATTAATATTTTGATTATTAAACTGTTAATGAATAAAGGTTATTGCCAATTACTACATTTTGAGCTATAAAATATCTATAATATAGTCTAAAAACTTTAAAGCCAATAAATTATTTGGCTTCATGAATTTTTTTTTTATTTATTTATTTGAAATTAAATGTTTTAGCATATTGCATGTTAATAAAAATCTACAAATACTTATTAACTTAATTAATAAATAATAACAATAACATTTTTAAATATTTGTTAAAAATATTAATCTTTATATAGAATGCCAAAATATTTTAAGACAATTCATCTAAATTTGATTTACAACATAATTGTACACATTATTTATGATAGTATAATAAGATATGCGGTAATAAACTTGTTAACAAACTATAAATATGAGATAGAAATATATAGTTGCGAAAATCCATTTGAAGCACACCATAAAAGTACCTATATAATTTTTTATTATATGTCAGCACATATCTTACCTGCATATATATGAAGTTAAATTACATTTTTATATTACTCTTTAATGGATAATGGATATATTGAATGATAGTTAAATGATAAATTTATAAAAAAAAAAAAACCTGAATGTTTAATATATGTACCCAACATTTTTTAGATTCATCAAAAATTATTTAAAAAAAATGTTTTACACTACATTTGTTGCAGTCGCAGCGCTACATCGTCTTACTTTTTATTAACCATTTTTTGTACGTCAAATTTAAAAATTGCAAACAATTAAAGTTTAAACAGCTATTAAATCACGAAATGTATAACTGAAAAATAGCATCTCGCCATCATATTAAAACAAATTATATTACTGAATTATTTATCGTTTTAAGGAGATCGTCGGTGACGGTGACTGTTGTGCAGTGTGCATTGAACCATACAGACCTTCTGAAGTAGTTCGGATATTACCATGCCGACATGAATTCCACAAAAGCTGTGTAGATCCTTGGCTGTTAGAGCACCGAACTTGCCCAATGTGCAAAATGGACATACTCAAACACTATGGGTTTTTGGTGAGTTACTAAATAAATTCGCATTACCATTACAGTACATATTTAAAATTTAAGTCCGAGAGCAGACATAAACGTAGATTTTGATGCGAGCTATAGCCCCCCTTTTCCCCCTTTTTAGCTATGCCACTGTCTGAAAGTACAGATAGTTATAGATTGTGATGAATAATTAATTACAGCGTACCTGTATTAGTGTATTACTATAAACGTATTATAATTATGCGCCTTTGTTACGTTTTAAGTCAAATATTCCTCAGTATAATTATTTAAACAAGAGCAATTCATTATCATTCAAAAACATTAAATTAAATTACAACGAAGTGTATAAAACTATAAAGTACCTATCTAACTATAGCTATTTAAAACACGTTTATCTGAAATTCGAGTCCACTCTCGTGTGACCGATTCCGTAAATAATATACCCATTAGAATTTCAGTGGTCACTGATCAATAAATATTAAAAGGTTTTTTTTCGTTATTTGCAACAATATTTCTACAAATGCTGTTGTTTAAAATTATTCATGTATATTGCACGATCAAAGATAATTTTTGATTGCACGTGCTACCCAAGTATATTAAATATTTTATGATTCGCTAATAATATAACCATTAATATAAACACTTAAATATTATATCCGTACATATTATTACTTGTATTTGAGTATATAGTCGTATAGAATTCTAATGTATAAAGTTATACGACTTGTAGAGCATCGGAATCAATTCTTCATTACAATTAGACAAAACGAATATTTTTTTTTTTTAATTTACACCAAACTATTGTTTGTCTTTGCGTACGATTTCATGTTGAATGCCACCTTATGAAACTTTCGAAACAAAAATTCTTCAACACGGTGATTATTATAAAAAAAAATATCATGGTTTAACATGAATACAGTACATACCAGTACCAGGCTTATATTGTTTTTATAACCATACACTGTATACTGTACATAATATATACAAAATAGGTATAATTCTATGTAATATATTTATATATAATTATATACATAATCATTTATAATATATATATTTACAATTTTCTAGTGTACTATAATATAAAATCAATAATCATGCGTGACGATTTCTACATCGATCAAACCCATTACTCTGCATAGTCTGCATTTATAATCACTTTTGTATAATGTACAAAACATTAAACTGAAAAAAAAATACGAATGAATAATGTATTTTCCTTTTTTAAGTAAAACAATGTGATCAAATATTAACGATAATCGTGACTTTAATGGGTTAGAAAAGTACAATTATATTAAAACAAACTTGGAGATAGTGTTGTAAAATAAACTTTTATAACACTCCGCTATCGCCCGTCATTTGTCTTGTAGCGTAGGTATGTGTCGTACCAATGATCGTCATAACTCATAACCATACACTTTCAAAAATGGTCATCGTCCAAATCTGCACAATTTGTCAAAAGCAAACCTTTTAATACTGCACACACTCATATATATATAAATAACGAACATAATTATCTGAAAAAACATTATCGCTTAAAACCGCACATCAGTTAATCATATTTAATTAAAATCAAAAAATCATAAGCAATGAAATTAATTTTGTAAAATGTTTGAAAACACTAGGATGTAAATTTATTCTGATCTGGGCATTATGTACTATACATACTTTATTTTATCTTATTACAGAAGTATTGAATTATTTTAATTCGCTATAAAAATTATAAGATTTTACATATTAAATTATTTTTACGACGATTTGTTTGATAACAATTAACAATAAATGCTTGATTTTTAACTGCCAATCAAATGTATGGGATTTTAAATTATCTACCTTCCAGATTTTCCTTTTCAACAATAGAATATATGTATGCAATATTGAACGGTCTATAAGACGTGTGGTTATGAATATTAAGTGTGCGGTTATGAACGCCCTGTCGATACGATTATAATGAGAATGTATACCTATACATGATTCCCCCGCATGTTTAACTAAATTTATGCTGCACAAATAAAATTAAATTGCATAAAATAACCCAATATTCTAAAAGATGAGTTCATTATTTTCTTTTTATAGCATAACGTACATAGTATAAACAACTTTAAATACATTTACGTCATTATTATTGTAGTTATACACGTTAAATTTTAATATGTTATTACAAAGTTTTAATTCGGGAATAACATCACTATTATAATATCATTAATGGTTATAAAAGATAATAATATAATTTTATAAAATAACAGTGATAAGATAGTATTAAAATATATTATGTAAATGTAATTATTTGTATTGTACATTATTAATTAAGTATGTTTACTATGAATATAATTAACTAAGATAACTTTGAAATGTTTCCTAAAAATAATATAATAATAAGTTAATACACGTACAAAAAAAATATTTCAAAATAATGAACATAGGTTTTATTAAAATAAGTTAAAATGATGAAAAACTCATCTTAATACTTAGGCATGTTAATCTTTAAAATAGGTAAGCTCTTTCGCTGAAGTTTAAATCTCGGAGACAAACTTCAGCTTTTGTAATTTCTTTGTGATACCTAACATAATATCTAGAATTATAGAAATAAATGATATAGTTATAACTTTAATAATTTTAGACAACATTTTATAGTTAACGATTATGAAAAAAACTATGAATTTATTAGATATATAATGTTTCAAATGTTCTTAGAATTTACTAATATCTTTATTAACAAAACTAATATTATGAGTTACTATTTTAACAGAATATTGAAAATAATATATAACAATAAATATTGATTAAAGAATAATATGATATGACGATATTAGTAACCTTGTATACTCATATTTATTATTTTATTATTGAGTCCTCACATGTTAAACCTACAAATTATATTTATTTTTTAAAATCTTAAAATTATAATTTTATAGTTTTGCTAAATTGCATCATAATTCAAACTTAAAAACGAGTATATAAACAAAAACCTTAATGGCTTGATATACAGGATAAATAGTTAACTATTATTACATAATAGGTATACATTTATTGAAAACTGAGTAAACAACCAGTAAACAAACTGGGTAAAAATAAACTCGTACCTGCTAAAATATCTTCAATATTTTTCAAAAATCACCTGTCATTTTTTCGTGAATTTATGATAACGACACTAAATATTTAAGATTACCTCTAAACTGTTTAATATAGACGATTAGGTTAGGTTAAGTTAAACGATTTTTCAATTATATATAACATTGATGCTTAATTTTATAATTGTTCACAATAGTTAATTCAAAATAAAAAAAACCCACCATATTAGTAGCTAAAAACATATGAATAAAAAATAATACATGCAATTTAAAATGATGTTTAAGATTATTACTTATAGTTTTTTGGACAAAATCGAAAAAGTTTAAACTATTTTAAAACTGATCGCCACTGATTACCTTGATCGAATTAAAAAAAACATCAATTACTAATCTTTAATAAGAATATATAATCAAAATCGCAGCAAAAAATGCCCATTTCATGAACTAAATACGCATATCATGATTTTATCGAAGCTATTTCATGAATATTCTATTTCTACGAAATAAATGTGACATATACGAGTACGTACAACGGCCTATTTTTAATAACCTCAATAAATTAATATCATCCATGAAAAATATGTTTCAAAAAAATCTGTAGGTGTTTAAGAAACAGTTCACTGTCAAAAATCGAATACATGGAGACACGTATTATTCTATATTATATTATGCGAATAAGATATTAGGCATTTACGCATGTAGAGATCGAAGGAAAACAAGTCGCAACTGTTAAAGTGAAGGTTGATTTTGTTGTGTTTACGATTCCTTTCATCTGCACAAATAACATCATATTATTCGAATAATCTTCTGCGAACCTTGGCATTCGTATAATAATATACATTGTACGTGTGCCGATGTGACTACACGTGTAATGTGCGTTGTGCGATAGGTAATGAAACATCATTGTAAATTTAGTCCATAACTGTAAAAAATGATGGAAAATATATGATGATAAATGGCTTTGATGTAATAAATGTAAACCAACCATCTTAACCGGGAATAAAAATTAAAAACGCTAATGGTGATCATGGTTAATACATTTAACGCGATTAATTAATATTTTACCTGCGTGTGTATACAAGCAGGGTACAAAATACCAGCGTAAAAAAATAAATAGATAGATAAAATATACTCTATTCTATATTCTTAATTAACAGTGACGTTGAACAATGATCAATGATAAAATCTATGCAAGTAGAAATTCAGAAGTGCGTTTATACATTATACCTAATAATATATATTACATTTTAGGGCATGTATATTATTATGAACGCTCGTGCGTGAAAGTTTTCAATGTAAAAACACGATAACTCACTTTGAAGATTTTGTACGAAAATTATCCGAGTATTATGATTATAATAGCTGGTTTCTTTTTTTACAAAGTGCTGTGAATACATTTGTAATTATCGATTTCGTATAATTAAACTATATTCACTATTATGCCGTCCATATAAAATACATACAACATTACATTACGCCCGTATTATTTGCAACACAGTTATCTATCCACTATTCCACTAAAAATATTTCTCTATATTATAATTCATATAGTTTTTTTTCAACAAATTAAGGACAAATAGAAGTATTATTTAACATAATATTTTGTGTATTAAGTTTCACAAAATCCTTTTTTTTTTATCTTAATACTTTTTGAGACATAAAAAATTATTTATTACCAATATGTTATACGACAACAGACTATGACATTTCGGGAAGAAATTTTTTTCAATTATCTATTGAAACAAGAAAATTTTAAAAAAAATGTTCCTATATAATAAATCAAGCTTTGCTAAGTTTCATTTTCTGGATGTAATAATTATTAATCTGTCAATTTAATATTTATCATAATTTACAGGTTTTAAATGGTAATGTTTAATATCGACTATTTTTTTTTTGTCTTCTTTGAAAAGATTATATCAATAACAACACCTACTTGATCAACTTGAAAGTGGATTTTTGTTTTTTCAATATTTCTGAGATTTATTTACATACACTTTTATCATATATTATAACAGTACTTATAATAATATGATGTACCTATACCAAACAAACAGTGTTTAATATTATTTATCTATTATAAAGTTATACAACTATATTTCAAATCTATTAAAATTATTTCTAGTAAAAATATTTGAAGGATTTTACTTATGGTAGTCGTGCAAGAAAATTAATATTACGGTCATTGGTACAGTACAATACTACAGTGTATTATATACGTATAATATATAATATACAGACACCATATATGTAGACTTATAAAATTTTTATTTAATAAAAGCTCTTTATAGTTATAGGTACCAATTAAGCAATTTAAACTGAAATTATGAATTATGAAGTAATATTAAGGCCAAAAAATAGTAAATAATTAATGTTGGAAGTTGGAACCTATGTAATTAGGATATATTGTTAATGTTTTTTATTATGACCAATTAGGTTAATGGAATAAAGTTATTTCATCAAAAAATTATAGAATTCTTTCAGCTATAATGAATTTTTATCTTTGGTTAGTTACTCATTATTAGTTAGCACGTCATACGACTATAGTAGGCATTAATGCGTATACGCCGTATACTTATACCTATATGGGTATAAGCTACTACAAACAATGATCAACTTATTATGACTCCGTTATTGTTACGAAATGTCCATTATTTATTGTGCCATAATGAGTATGCAATCGTAGAATTATTTTAAAATAAAATAAAAAAATCATTCAAATCAGTCAAAATATAAAAAAAAAATATTTCGTATAAATTAGATCAATATTTAAGTGAGTGCAAAAGTGCTCTTGATTTATTTTTATGTGATTAGCCTATATATTTTTATTTTTTTAATCATGATAACCCGTTTTTTATATTTAATTATTATGAAATCTATTAAGCATTATCATAGTTATTTATTATGAGGATTAACACAAAAAATAATAAAAATAAAAAATACTTACTGTTGTTAATCGCTATAAATCTATAATAAAAATCAGAATGTAATTACTTTTATCAAACGTAATCTATTTAATTATAACGTACAAGTGAAAAAATATATAGCTACAGAATAATGTCTAATAATTTATCGAATACCATCTAAGTAAATCAAATGTTTATTGTGACTATATAATATATATCTTTATTTAGTTGCCATTTGCCAATAGTGTGTATATTATACAATATGACAGTATGACAAAAAAGCTTTTCTGTTGAAATCTCAAGGAAAAATATATTATTTATGTTCTAATTGAATAGTGTAGTTTTAAAAAAAAATATCTTCAATACTGTTCAAAAATAAAGATAGATATGAATTTAAGTACCTTACAATTTTTATTGTTTTAAAATCATGAACACATTTTGTTGAACATAATATTCAAATATTTTTAGAATAGAAACTGCGCGTTAACTTAAATTTTATTCAAAATGAATACAAAAGAATTATAACTTTTAAATATTCACCAATTTCTCGCTTTATTTATAAATTAAAAATTAAAATCTTGAAAAGTGCAATCCATCGATTGTTTTTATATTTTGTTTGATTATTGTGTTTTAAAATATTTAGGTACAAACTGTTTATTATTATTGTTAAAATGCATTTATCTATCATATTACCACTTATAATTTTGTTATGTAACTCTTGTACCTAAGGGTTTTTCTTTAATATGATCAAGTGGAAAGATGACAGATGCAATAATTTATAAAATACTATATAACTCGTAACTTCGAAAACTGGTTGTAATTTAGTAATATATGTGTTGTTTTGGAATTAGAACCGAGGAGCGCGACGTGCGTATCCGAGAAGGTTGGGATAAAAATACGTTCATCACAATAAAATAGAATGTTCAATCGTATCATAAACACAGCGTTATATACCTATTGCCTATTAATATTGCATTATTATGTTAATCTTTATAATGTGAGAGTAACCTGTATGGGTCTATACATATATACACACCTGCACCTATTCGACTGCATACGAAACTGCACGCGTTTATATTTATTTAAATAATATAAGCGTTCATAATAAGATTTTGAGCAGTAAACAATATCTAACGGTCAATGCCCTATATATAATAATGCATATACAGTACACACGAGTGTACCGATAAATTAGATAGAAAATCTTCTAATACCGTTGTATTAGGTCGATATTTTATATCGTACAAAAAATTAATCACATCATAATATACAACGCGTATATTATGTATATGTAGTATTATAGTTTATAATGATATCCACTACGATGTATTATTATTATTATAGGAACACCTATCTACGCATCACGCCTGTGATATAGGCACCTAATAATATGTATATTTTTTATTCGAGTTTTTTAAATAACCATCGATGGAAAATCTTATTAATTGTGTGCGCTTGTGTGCGTGTGTGTTTAGTTCACAGGCAGTCAAGAGAGTTTCCTGCACGTAGAAGTCGAAGAGGTGACCAACGATTTCGACGTATACCAGTACGCACGTGGTCGGAGTTTCATGGACACGGCGCAAAACTCGAGAACGGTAAATATTGTGAAACAGACGTTCGGGCGCGGACGCGTCACATTTAAATAAACCCATAACGTGTTACCTAATAATAGCTATAGCTATATATAATAATATTATGACGTGTTCTATCGATATAAGATTAAAACCAAAAAAAAATATATATTTAAAGAACGAGAGAACTAGACATTTTTTGCAAACTCCCCCCCCCCCTCCAAAACAAAATAAAAAATTTGAAACTCGAATTCGAATTGACGTGTGGGTGTTTGTGCGTATGTGTGTGTGTGTATGTGTACGCAGATACCGGACGTGGCCGCGGTGGCAGTGGCCGCTGCGACGGCGGTCGTGTGCGAATCGCCCGACAGTAGGTCGTCGACGCCCGACGAACTGACGCCCGCGCTGGCCCAACTCAACGACGACGGCGGCGGCGGCGGCAACGGCAACGGCGACGGCAGTGGCGACGGCCGTACAGACGCCGCCGCCGTCGCCGCCACCACCAACTGTACAACGGTCGCCGCCGGCACCAACCGATCGACGTCATTCGGTGAGTACGCAGCTGAACGCGCGCGCTTTATTCGTACCTTTAACGCAGTGATGCTCCATCGATTTTTCTCAGCGTACGTACTTACTTATTGCTTACACGCGTTTGTGCCCGTCGAGTTTCCGACGACCACCATTGCGGAGGTAGATATATAATGTTGTACAGTTTTTTGTACTCGAGGTTCACAATCATATCGTATTGGGTGCGAAGGGCTGGGGGGGGGGGGGGGGGGGGGGGATACGTAGGGTGTTAAGTGACGTGAGTAAAAAAAAAAAAAAAAAATAATAATAAAAAAAACCTACGTCAAAAATTTGACAGAGCGCCGCCGCCTTTTTTTGCAGAGAAGAAACCTGCAAGTCTGATTGACGTCATTTAATAACATATGTATGGCATTTCCAGCGGCTACCAGCTATACTCGCATACATATATATATATATATACATTATACGCGTGTTATACTGTGAAAAATCATTTGAAATCGTCTATGTACGTCGCGTTACGGGTATAAAAAATACGCATAATGATATCGTCCCACTCAAACGAGATCCGAATTTTTCCGAGGCTTCGATCGCGAAACTCCCGCGACGGGACATCTTCCGGGTCGACGAATTATAATTTTTCTCGCGAATTACTCGAGTGGGAGGGGGGGGTATATTATATTATGTATACCTGCATCGCAGTCGCGCGGGCACCGGCGTATCCTGCACGATTTTTCAACACTCGGTGCGGTGATCTCGCGACGTGTGCTTATATATAATATTTACGTAGGTATAGAATTCACCCGTGGGAGCACCACTGCGGCTTTGTAGCTTTTTAATGTTGTTTTATGAATATTGTGTTTGCTTGTGTATGTATATGCCGCATAATACAGCAGGGGTATATCTCGTATCTATATCTATTTACACGTCAAAGACTTTATTTTCTTCTCTTACATAATACGGCCTTACCCGAGACAGTCACAGGGACCAATCATCTCTCAAAGACGTCCCGAGGGATACGTATTGGATTAGGTATTTATTTTTTTCGTCTCAACCCTCGGTGTGAAGGGAGGGGAAGTGAGATTTGTTATCACGTAAAATCGGGTGTGCACACAATGTGCCACACATGCAGTGTATTTCATGATAAATCATTACACGTGTTTTGACTGTCTTGAAATTTAGTCCCAATTATATATTTTATATAGGTAGTATTTTACATAAGTATATGGTATGTGTTTTGTGTGCGTGTATGTTGTCCTTATGTATATAATATATAAGTGCCTGTCTGCACTACACATTAAACACGGGTTGCACGTGGTGTCGTCGTTTCCAGCTGTCCTATAATAGTCTATTATGCAATAAACTCGTACTTATGGTGTGCAGCAGTGACGACAACGCAAGATTTTTTTTTTTTTTTGAGTATCTGCGCTCACGATGACATATGTATAACGTATGATTCTTTGTGTAAAAAAAAGGGTGTGATATTTTGGAAGGTATTTAGTAGATGACAATTTAGACGGTGTAATTTCACCAAACTGCAGAGCTTTCATTTTTAAAGAGAGGCTACAATTGTTTAGGTTATAATATATATTATAATACACACGTATAGAATGATTTCCTCTCGTCAATAATCATTTTCAAATAACAATAACGACTTAGATTTTATAGGCTAATATTTAAATAACGTATTAAATGTTTTAAACGAAAATAAAAAAATGTTTCAAGCATATAGAAAGAAAATAAATTAGTTTTTTTTCAAGCGAGATTTATTTTTGATTGCGAAGAAAACTATTACAGAAGTTTGTGCCTTATTGTAATACACCGTAGTTAGGTAAATGTCTTCGCCGTGCGATTTATAGTCTTTGCCGCCACTAATACACTAACACGCGCAGATATATATAATATGGTGCGAAATCATTTTAACGTTAACTAAATTTTGTACGTTTTCCGAGCCTGTTAATTATTATTATGTTCTTGTTTTCTACGTCACGAGCTACATAAAGCATGTATATTTATCACGCGAATTCTCAATGGTATAATAGATACAAAAATGTCATTAAATTTATACATGTATGTATATATTCAACTATACATGAAAATAGTACCTAATACCTATAATATCTAAATATTATAATGCCTGTAATTGCACGTTTTTCGGGATATAGCATGTATGTGTTATGCAATGGTGTAAACATTTTAGTAATCTTGTCATTTTTTTTTTCCCACCAGAAGAGCAGCCTCCGGTCCACTCTGTTAGCATACCTACGACAGCTAAATAGTCTGACGACGGCCGACGCACTCACAATCACAACTGTATATTTTATTGAATAACTTTATTTGTTATTTTTACAATATACATCTATTTCGCAAGACCATTTCTGGATAGCGTGTATTTGTGTGCGTGTGTGCTCGGTATATACCACAGGAATCCAAAACAATAATCGGTAAAAAATATTAGCACGTCGTACATTTACTGTGTGTAATATTATCTCGGCATCTGTTGTGATCTTATAGTACGGATGTTTGTTAGCTAGTCTGCGGTTGTAAATCAACGCCTAACTCGATTGCTCTATATACGTATATAGATGGCCGACTTGAGAGGAGCGCAACAGTAAAATCATTATAGTTGTTTTCGTAATAACTCGTAAGCACGCAATTTAAGCAGTGGGTAATTCCGTAACTGATTACACGGTCAAAATTAGAGCGCTTACCTCATTATCTACCATAACGATTAGGTATATAATAAAAATTATCAAAAACAATTTTCTAAGTGTTTGGTTGAAAACTTTTATGAACTTTAATTTATCAGTATGAATTGATAGATAATTTAAAAAAAAAATCACAAAAATATTTAGAATAAACAACAAAAAAAAAACTTCGTTCACGAATAAAATTGTTCTACTGAAAATTATAACACCATAATTCCAACCGTGTACCTAATCATGATCAACATTGTTTAAACTAACTTAATATATACAAGACAAAAAGTAGCAACTAATTATTATTGCGTCCTCTTAAAATTCATTAACCACTCATCATCAATAGAACAATAGTTAACAACTTTAACACAAAATATAAATCTTTACAAAATGTTATGAAATGTTGAAGAAAAACTTGTTGTACTAACTCAGGTGGTTCCTTAATCGAACAACACTTATTATACATTTCAAAATTAATTAACATTATTGAAAATATTTATTTTTACATAATTTTCAATCGAAATAAAACAACATTTTTTTTTTTTTTTATAGTTATACTTTTTTCAAATTTTTACTTTTTTGAATTAAAGCATACATTTTAAAACTCATTCTATAGCAGAATATTTTTCAGAGTATTTTGATACTTAAAAATCTAAATTTGGATGAGTAATTTATGAGTTGTAACTATGTATATTTAAAGCTTAAGTAAACGGCGTAGTGGGCCATTATTACGCAGGGTATCTCTGTACCAATCCATTCCGCTAAACTTTAAATAATTATAACTCTTAAACTACTCGTCTAAGTTTAGATTTTACGTATTGTGATACTCCGAAAATAATTTTGTTTCAGAATATAAATTAAAAAATGTATTTTATCACTCAAAAAATAAAAAACTTAAAAAAATTTAATGATAACAATATTGTTTATTTCAACTGAAAATTATGTAAAAAAAAATTTTTAAAAACGTTAATAAATTTTGAAATAATAAATGTTTTTTGATAAAAAAATCACTCTGAATAGTGAATAGTATGAATTTTAAAGTAATTTAAACGCAAAATTATTTACGTTATTCTTACAATTAATAAATATAGACTATACCTAAAACTTACACAATCACAATTTTTATATAATTTATCAAAATCATAAAAGATTGAAAATTATTGTGTACCTAGTTAAAAATTCATAATTTTTAATTCTCATAGTGAGGCTTATACATTTCACAAAAAATTCAACAGGTTTTTTTTTTTTTATTTAAAAAACTTAACATAAAATCACACACATTTTTTATGAATATTTGAAGTTCAAATTTTAATGACATTGGTATTTATGACTTTAACGTATAATAACGATTTATCCTCCTTTTGATAAACATTTAACTTCTACAATTTACAATTGTTATTTTTTATGCTTATGTAAAAATATTCAAACTAGTTTTAAGTTATTTACAAAAGTTTAAAATTTTCAACTTTTTGGTTTTTTTCTTTAAACATTGGTTAAGGTGTTTGTACTCGGTCAAAATACTCGAAAATTTAAGAAAAAGTTCCTAATTAGTTTTACTTATAAAATTCTAAAAATATCAAAAATACAAACAATCGATATTTTTGTTTACATATATTTTAAGTTTTAATTTTAACAAAGTTGGTTGGGTATTAAACAAACCAAAAAAAAAAAAAAAAAAAAAAAAAATGACGAATTTTTCTCCAATGATTTTAGTCGTATAAGTAATAATTTTGTATCTCAAAAAAATATTTATCACATAGATCAGAAACTTTCTGCGGTTTTTCAGTACCTATAGGTAAGTTTCATCCGTGTAATGCGATAGTATAAAATAAATAATGATACACGGTCTACACAATGGTAATATATTTCATTTATTTAATCTGCGCAATACAATGAGGGCCTCAAAAGACATTGACTCCGGCTGGAGCCCCCATTATTATAATTTATAATGCGCACAGTGTCTGTTTAACCGCAGCCTGCTAACCCGACGTTGTATAGGTACCTACGTACTGCAATTATTATTATAGGTGCGTTACCGCTAACAAGGTCACGATCGCGGTCATCGAACACCCGGTTTGCAATCCACGCAAAACTCCGGCGACTGTACTTCCTACTTCTCGACTTCCGATTTCCTCATCCCGATCTTTCGAACACTGCTCGCTGTTCTATTTGCGACGCGTCCGTTATTACAGTTCGTTAAAGCATCGTATTATCTTAACCAAGACCGGGCCCAATTCGAATATTAAGTAACCCATTTTTGAGCGTTCAATATCTAAATTGTGCTCTAGAACGAATCGCAAACAGAAAGTCTCATAAATATAATTCTTCGCGTAACCAACCGTCGCAGTACTTGGTCTTCTCTCGTATACGAATTTTCAATTATTTACGTTAAAATATTGTGTGCGATACAACAATAACATATGTATATAATATATACATAGGTATACTTACCTATGATTGTGCCAAATATAAATACACGTAGATAATTTTTATTTTGTCATATTTCATAAAAATACGGTAATTATTGTTGTTGTTTTTATTATTTTTCGTGTCCAAAACACAATACAAATACGTTTCTTTTCTTTAAAAAAATATTTGTAACTCTAACCATTCTATAAGTCACTACCGATGAAACGCGAAAACGTGTCTTTTTTTTTTAACAGTTCTATCTATCCTTATTAATGCAACAATCAAATGTAAACAGTGCTGATATTGTACAATTCTTTAAAATTTATCAAAACCGCCTCTTACACTCTGTTTTTTGTTGTCAATATATTATATAACCTGACTCCGATCGGAAAAAAATAACGAACACAAAATCACTAAGATATATCGGTAGGTATATCTCGGTTTAAGCGCAACTCAGTTCTGCTCGGACATATATTGACATCGGCTTATCATCGCTTTGGTCGCTAATTCGACCGAGATGTGCAATCTGTCTTTGGTGAATTGGACATAATACTATAGGTTAGGTCTTTGGACGTGTGTCAAATCATAATCTCCACATCTTTCTCGATAGTTCTAAAAACGACCTCAGCTGAAACCGTTAGCGACGATTTTGCAGAGTGGTTTTTGTTTCGTTAACACTAACATATACAGACATTACATTTTGTTGTACATTTGTATACTAAACAATAAAAATTAAATGAATATTATTTTCTTTGATTTTGAAAAAAAATCCCACAGCAATCCGTTTGAGCAACGGGTCGAATAGTATACATACCAATTTATTCTTTTAAATTTTATTTTTGTAGGTAACCAATTGCCACCTCGTCCAGTCTATATAAATAAAAAAATCTATCGATTTTCGGGAGCCAAAACAAAATGTACAGGCGAGCCATTCTGTAGAGGTTAAAAAACAAAGTTAAAGCATATTCCATGATTCAAACCCCACAACTGGGTGGGAGGTTCAAACCCCCCGTGAAATTTTTACTGAGTACAGCCCTGCCCCGGGTCTTTAGGAATATAATAGTTAGCAGTTGGTTCAGCATGATTTACAAGTTTAAAAGCATGACGCGAACGTTTACCCTATACATTTTTATAATTGAGTATGTAAATTATTATTAATTATTATACAAAACGTCCGTGTTAATAGTTTCCTGATTCCGTTTTACTAGTTTTCTACATTTTACAGTAGTTATGTACTCTTTTAAAATGTTTGGGTGCATACTCGAAAAGTACCTAATTATAAGAATTACCATAAAATTGATTATATATTGTGATGCAGTGGCGTATTTATGGGGGAGGGGGGATCAAGGGGTCAGAGGATAAATCCCCCCATAGGCTATATACACACAAATAATTATAGTCATCATATGAATTAAAAATGATTATTAATATTATTTTCTTTATCAATAATTGATTAAATTAACAAGAATTAAAATATTATAATATATTGTACAATATTCTCATTGGTATCTTCATTTATAAAGTCATATCTTCCCCCCCCCTCATGACAAAAACCTAAATACGTCACTGTTGTGATAATCGGATAACGAATTAAGTAAACCATAAGTACCTAATTCAGCCGTTGTTAATTTGCAAACAGACAATAATTCAATAGCTACGAGCTATACACCTACTTATTACTAGAAAAGAGCTTTAACTCAGGCTCTCTACATGTATATGACTATTATATATGGGCCATGGGCGTCCCCAAGAGGGGGAGGCAAGACGGCAAGACGGAGCACTTAACCCTCTAGAATTTTAAATTTATTACTTAATTATAATAATTTAATGTAATAATGACGAAACATAATTATGTAGGTACTATAAATAAAATGTATAAATAAATTTTCATTTAAGTATTTTTTAAATTAATTTTGCCCCCCCTCCCTTAGAAAAATTTCTGGGGACGCCCATGCTATTATATATAAGAGTAGGTATCTACGTATAAAAACTTATTTTTAATCGTTATCGCTATAAACTTTGACCTTTTCTTCTCGAATAATCATTTCATAAGGTTAACGATATAATTCAACTTGTATTAACATTTAAATGAATAATACGTATCTAGGCAATTGTATTTTAAAATAGCGACCGAGTACAAGACTACCAAATAACAATGTGGATATTATTTAAATTTTCTCAAATTATGAACAAATAACATTTATTCTTTTAATATAAAATCGATAGTGCAAGGTACCTTTTGTAATAGGTTACATGAGTTTTTATTGTTTTTATGTCAATGTTACACATTTTAATGATAAATATGAATTCTTGGTATTTCATGAAACTTTTAATTCTTCTAGTTATGAACTTGATTAATCAAATATTTTACTTATTTTTTATTCTATGGATGTTTTTTCTTAATGATATTTGTTTTTTAAGAAAATAAAATTTAGTGTGCACGGTTTAACGTTGGACTTTAATCTATCGACTACCACATTCACAATAATTAATAATTAACATGCATTATTACAAGACTCGTTATAATATTATAATATCAAATTAGTTGTTTTTCTCATTAATGCTAAATAGATAATTAAACTAAAATTTAATAGATCACAACAGGTAACTGTAATATTTATACTTTTTCTATTGATCAGAGATCCTCAAACATTTCGTGGAGTTTCGACCATGGATTTTGTTTATAAAAATAACATCAACATCATTTACCTCTCCTCTGCTAGAAAATAGAAAAATAAAATAAATAAACCTGTACTCTATCGTACAAAATAAAGAATACACACATGAACTAAGTCCAGTAAAATGTTTGTCTGGTAGATACCTTTTTATTTTTAACAATTCCTTTACAATTTAGATGTTTGATGTATACAATATTTAAACACACAAACATTTATTTAAAACAAAGTATTATACAATTTATTTTATTTTTTTTTTTTTTTTTTTGGTTTTATTTTTTATTTGATAAAATGTTTATTTTACTCTAACACAATTAATATTTATATGCGTATTTTGTTTTTCTTATTTAGACTCTGATTGGTGGCACAGCCGACTAGGTCCACTGCGGCAGACGCGTTCTTCAGATGGTTTCTGAAACATCAAAACAACGATTCAGGACGGATGTGATACTAGCCATTAAGATGACTTAAACTTTGTAATAGAATGTATCTTCAGTTTAAGTCTTATTATTATAGATATTAGGATTAGGTATAAAAAAAATTATATTATATAATTTAACGAAATTGACTTTTCAATTTAAGTTATTAAAACCGTATGAATATACCTAGTCAGTATTCCTATAATATAATATAGCCCTCTGATGATGACTGGATTTAAATGTGAACGGTACTTTTTGTAACTATTTTATAGATAAAAATGTATAATTATGTTATTATATTATTTAATATTTACTATTAAGATAATGATAAATGTCAAGAATTTACAGTTTGTAAATAAAAACAAATATATAGTTAAAATATTATATTTATAAGTATTACATTTTAATAAAATACTTATTATTTCATTTTCTATACCTAATTTTGATGATTTATGTGAAAACACGCTTCGGTGGTGCTATGTAAGCTGGAGGTGGAGGAGGGTTTTCAAATTCACCAATTGTATCCATGTAATACTGGAAAGCTCTTAAAAACTTAAGTTCATGAGGTATTCTCTCTTCTGCCTTAGTTAGTTTTACACCTAGATCTTCCAACGTTGGTAATCTTTCATCAAGTATATCACTTACAAACTCCTACAACAACATACATATGTAATTCATATCACTTAATCCTAATTAAAAAAAAACAAAAAAAAACTAGTTACTCTTTCAAAACGTTCAGCGGTTACATAACCTGGTGGCCAGCTAGGACAGAGTTTGTCTGTTAACCACATTTTGAGTAGATATTGAGGATTCTCCATGATACCAGTGCGTTTATAATCAAAGTTGAATTTATTATCACGTCGTAAAACTGCAAACATCCAATCGATTAAATCGGATAACAAATAGGGAGTTGGCCTGAAAATGTTAAATTTTTTTTTAAAAATTAAATAACATTGCGAAAATATAATCAGGTAATAACAATTGACATACCCCACAGCTTGATAAATTTTTCCTGAAGTTGATTTATCAAGCATAGCATTAACAATGCCATATGCTACATCAGATACTGCAACAGGCTGTTTAACCGTTTGTTCTCCTTTCTGCCATAAGACAATTTTCTGTTGAGAACGACGCCATGCATGGCTGTACATCCTAAAAAAAAGATATTTTACAAATTATATTTAAACTTTAATATAATAAATGTGTACTTATATTTCTAAAGTAAATTACATTTAGTATTAACATAAGAATATCTTTATCATAAAATTTATAGTAATTATCTATTATAATATATTGATATAATAATTTATTAACAAGAATACTTAGGAATTTAAACACATTCATATTTTTTTATTTATAAAATTATTCAAATTTTTACCATTCTCGACTAAAACATTATCTATAATATTTTACCTATGATAAAAGTAGTGATTATTATGAAATAAATCTGTAAATAACGAGGAAAAAAAATGTATCGAATTCAATAATAAAATCAATGCATTAAATTAGTTATCATAGTTTTATCACTTATACTATTTTTTTGTGTAAAGTTGTATAAAAGGAAATAATTGGTTTGAAGGCAAGTCATAAATTTATAAACTACGTTATATGAAGCATGAGTGAGATAAATTTTTAACTGCAATAGAGACAACGATCTTTATTAAAATATAAAAATCAATAAATTATTTTATAGATTTTGGCCTTGCTAAAAAACTATTTTAAGTTTTAATTGATTTGATTCAGGGTTTATAAACAGTTTTAGAAATGTTTAGATTTTAAACCTGAATTTGAAGCTTTAGGTTTTGATAATGCTGATCAAAGAGCAACATAGCTGTAGAAAAATAAGCTATACATATTTAATAATACTAGTGAACATATCTGAAAATATAATTTAAGTGAAAAGGAAATAAATATAAGAATTTAAACAGAAATTTATAATCCAGAAGTCAAGCTTAAACTTTGTAAAAAATTTTTGAAAAATTGTGCAAAAGGTATATTATTTTAGTGCATAAAAATATTAATCTAAAAAATATAACATTTATTATTATGGCTAATTAATAACTATTTTAATGCACATAGAATTTTATACCATAAATATCAAAATGACTAAATATTAGCAATTGCATAACAGTGTAACTGAAAAGTTAAATACCAAAACACAAATGGGATTGAAAGTTAGTAGGTATTTAAGAAGAAATTATACCCACATTTATCATCTATATCTTACTAATGCATACTATACCAAAATATATGCTCAGCAGCAATAATTTTGTGTGCTCAGTATAAATATTGGAGAAAAATAACCTATTATCAAACTTGAAAGTAAGAACAATATCTATAATTTTTCAATGGTTTTTTTAAAAACTTATAATTTCAAAGTGAATAATAAGCATTTTTTAAATATTAATAATTTACATACTTATAACTTGCTTAAAAATTAAAATACTGCATAAACCAGAAAAAAACACAGATAACGTTTTTACCTCTATGCTTGATAATAGTTCATTTTGCTCTAATATTTAAGCTTAACACAAGATTGAAACTGCTGAATACATATTTAAGTAAGGTATGTATTAGCAAGATGTAGACAAGACATATAGATACGACGTACTTTCAATTTATATATTTTTATAAATTAACAAATTATATAACTTGTTTTGAATCTTGAAAGTAGTTATGAACTACATAAATTATTTTAAATTAAAATATTATTAATGTCTGATAATAATACAAAATACTTACAATAAAAATCTATCTCCTTGGCCATAAATGTCTGATGGACGGAAAATAGTAGCATCAGGAAACTCATCAAGTACTGCTTGTTCTCCAACTTTTTTAGATGCCAAAAATCCTGATCCTTTTTTCAAGTAAATAGGCTAGAACAATGAATAACAATTTTTTACCATATATAACAGAGTTATAATATTATTATAAATTACAAATACATTAATAGTTATAAAAATATCTAAGGGAAATGGAAATAATGATAGGTACTAATTTTTTTTTTTTTTATATCCATAAAATAAATTGTCACTTACATTCTTACAATAATGTAAGAAAAATACAATTTTGCAAGAATATAAGTTAAGACAATAGATGATTAGCAGAAATATTGAAGATTTACTTGTAAGATTGGTATACTTAAAAGTATAGTTAATGTGAAATTGCACTAATAACTTACAGCAGGCAATGGATCAACATTAAGTGCAGATACGTGGATTAATCTTTCAACGCCCATCTCACGACTAATGCGTGCGATACGTCTAGCTCCTTCGACGTGGACATCGTTGAATTTGAAATTTTTTGTTTCCCAATCACGTCCCACTAAATTAATGACAACGTTTGAGTATTTCACAGCCTTTCTGATAGATTCTTCATCTTGTAAGTGATATGGTTGAAACAACACTTGACCCAGATCGCCAGCAAGTTTCAACTCCCTTATGAAATAGGCATCTCCTCGGTATGGAATAATTAACTATTTCAACATTCGCCGACGTGTTACTGACTTGGATAAACAGAAACATCTACATCTACACAAACGGTCTAAAAACAAAATTACCTGTGTTCCAATCTTGCCCAATTTGTTGACGAGATAACCGCCCAAAAGTCCGGTCGCTCCAAACACAGTGGCGACCACCCCATTGAAACTCGACCGACCGCCAGTACCCCTTTTCAGCTGCGACAGCGACGGTCTCTGAATAACGCGAGGTTCAGAAGATTCGGTGCTATAGTGCGAAGTCGAACAGATGGCCAATGACAAATTCCGGTTTCCTGCAAACCAAAAATGTTGTGATCACGATCCGATCTACGGCGGTTTAGTAGCAGCCACACGTACTGAGAACCTTTACGTTGTTGTTGAACACGTGCACAGACATGTTAGCACGCGATTAGAGCACTATTTGGAAAAACGGTCGAACTTAGTGCAACATTCCTCGAAGAAAACGATCGACTCAATTGCTCAGACTTGAAAGTCCTACGGTTGTAGCATAAACCATTGGAAAATTATTGTTCCCAATAACGTGATAACTGATAACGAATTGAATTTTTCAAACAGCTGTTGTCGGTAGGACAAAATACATGATAACGGCAAAAAGGAACAGTGCAGTGGCACCAACTGCCCGCACAGAACGAACAAGAAATATCAGTCTAGCAACGCTGAAACATACGTTGGGCACATTGTAAGTTTTGTTTCTCTGTCGCCCGACGTCCGTCACGTCGTGTTTTTGCTTCTTTCTAGTGGAATAAAACACGGTTTGTCGGCGGATTCAGCTCGACATTTATATTTTTTTTTAGGTTTATTCTAACGAAATATGGTGAGTTACTTTTGTTATTATTACTTATTGCATTGACATTCAGTCGTCTTTCTTGCTGATGTTCGTTTCTCCTAGTACGATTGTACGTCGACAAATAACACTTCCAACATCGCTCCCTAAAACCATGTGACTAATACGTTTTTGTGTATATTCTGTTTTACACGATTTTGGTTTTCACGTTAATTCTTTCGTCGCTTGCTATTCATACTTCCCTTCGGCTACTTATACGTATGTCGATTTCCGTATTTATCTACTGAATGTTGATACTATTGTCTTAAAATTGATCCAAAAACCGATCTAACTGCTATATATTCAGTTAACCGTGATTTTTTCTTTATATTATAGCCGCCCAAGAAGGACTCAAAGGGCTCGTCCAAGCAGCCACAAAAAACTCAAAAGAAAAAAGAAGGAGGATCCGGTGGCAAAGCCAAAAAGAAGGTCAGTTTTCTAATCAATACTACCAAATTATAATCATGATTAAGGTTATGTTCTAAGTTATATGTGTGTTTTTATGAGTTTAGAAGTGGTCCAAAGGTAAAGTCCGTGACAAGTTGAACAACCAAGTATTGTTCGACAAGGTATCATACGACAAACTGTTGAAAGAAGTTCCATCGTACAAACTCATTACCCCGTCTGTTGTCAGTGAACGTTTGAAGGTTCGAGGATCATTGGCTAGAAAAGCTTTAGATGAGCTCTGCCAAAAAGGTGAGTAAAGATTACTATACAGTTAAATGTTTTATGGAATATAATTATTGATATATTTATACAGGTCTTATCAAGCAAGTTATACAACACCATGCCCAAGTGATTTACACGAGGGTAACTAAGGGAGACGAATAAGGATGTTTTTGTAAAATAATTATTTTATTAAATATAAAAAAAATTAAATAACAAATTTGAGTTTTGGCTTATTTAAGACTAATGATATAATTCGTTATAGTTAAAATTAGAATAAATTTTACATCATAATGAGCCTTGTATATGTGTATGTGAACACTTGTTCAACTTAATGACAACTTATACTCCTAAATATTTGCTCATAGAAGAAAAAAATGTATTGTTTAGCTTGTAATAGTTAATATGAACAAATATTTTCATGAGAAATTTAAAATTGAAAACAAGTGCAATGCCATATAGATAATAAAAAAATAAAATCTTAGTTTTCAAAATAACAATAGATTTAAATTATTTTATATAACATGAATAGTTAACAATTATATATGTTTTAAAGTTTATTTAAAAAGTAGGAATTTTATTTTTAAATCTTAAAATTTGTAATTGACTATTTCAATTGTAAATTATCCTCTTAATCATTTTACTAGGTCCCAAAACTGAGGAATCTAAACTTGTGTGCATTTTCTCGGTCTTACAAACGCATAGTAAATAATTCTTTCTGAATAAATTGTTTAACTTTTTTATGCTTAAAATTACCATATTAATTCATCTATTTTTTAAGTATTATCTAGAGCTCCACATGGAATGTTTAAATTTTAAATTATGTAGTAATTATATATGCAAGTAAAATACTTAAGAATTAAGATATTTTGTGTATATGAGCAGGTGGTAACTGGTAAGGTTTCATTAATACCTCTGTCACCACTCAACAAATACTTCTAGCATCAACATAACAGAAAGAGAGTCTGTAGTTCTCAATGTTCTCATTCTTAAACTACTAGGTGATTAAGAATCTTATATTTTAAACAAAAGTAAAGACAAGTGCAATGATGTATCTACTGATAATAGTATTAAATATGTTGGTTTCCAAATTTTATACAAAACCTCGTCCGTAAATTTAATATTTATGGATACAACTCATCTTTAAATTTAGGTTGTACTAAAATGATACAAATTATTTTATTTACACTCAAACTTAATTATAAATTACCATATAAAGGCAATTTTCTATGTTATGATTTTAATTAATTTATGTGGACCAACAGTGATCAAATAGTTGGAAAAAACTCAACTTATAATTAATCTTACTAGATTCATATATTACCTTTGTTAAATTGTAATACCTTATCGTAATATTCTGTGCTGAGTGTTATAAAATAAATAATTCATTAAATCTTTTTCAATATTCTCCGATAAATTCAAAAATCATTCTTGTGCCATGCAAGCGCTAACTAAGATGCAGTGATCCTATAGCGTCTTATGCCCTTTATACACATCACTGTTATACCTTACTACTTATTAAAGTATTCTAATAAGTAAAAACAATTGATAATTGAACGAACATAAAGTTAAATATGTCCTTAATAAAATGTTCCATTCATATTTATAGTCCACGCCTTATAATCTACAATAAATGTTTTATTTGTTGCATCATGGAAATTAATAAATTAGAATAAAATTACATAGTTAATTGATCAAATTATTTAAAGATGTAAAAAAAATTATAGGAGGTTACTAAATATTCATAGTTTCCAATGTTTCCATCTACTTGCACCTAAGCATGTCTAGGTATTAAGGTATACTACATTAATTCCTATAACCTGCATGTCTAATTAAAGAACATTAAATTGATATCGATTCAGTAGATATGTAAATAATATGTACTATCTTTGGTATTTTGTTATATTACCGTCTAAATAATTATCAATTTTTAATTCTAACAAACTCAAGACATAATGGACAAGATTCGATTATTTTGTGTATTGAGTAAAGTACAGAAGACCAATATACTTCATTTTCAATTACCGGAATAGTTTGATAGAAAATTAGATCTAATTGGTAGTTTGGGTGCTAAGAAAAAATTAACGAAAAGTGTGGATTTTTTTACTCAAGTCCATTATTTATTTAAATTAATTGTCTATTTATATGATTTAACAACTCAAAAATGAATAACTGTAAATACTTGAAATTTTCCTATTGTCATTTTGATTATTCTTGGGTTTTAATTTTAGGAAATTCAATTTTGATTATTTTTCTTAAAAAAAGTTTTGTACAGTAAAAAACCAAAAAATTATTACTAGATACTTTACGAGTTATTACGAATAGAAATTCAAAAAAGAGTTAGCATAAATCAAGAATATTTATTAGCTTTTGAAGTTGGAAATTTATAAAATGTTATAACATTCATATTTTAAGGTATGAACATTTCTACCAAATTATTTTTTACGTGTAAAAACAAATTCAACCTAATAGTATTGCATCATGCAGTCAATATTAATGTAATAATATGTGGAATATCTCAAGTTATCGGACAAGCTCTGCACAGAATTTTTTTCCGTGTACAACGATAATATAACATTGAATTAATATATAATATTTAATACATCCATTACAGAGACTCTCACTTACTCCTACTGAACATCAGATCGGTATTTACGACCACCTTTTTCTTTTTAATTATGAACAGTATACTAACGTGTACTGGGAGTTAAAGCTTGGTTTTGAAATCTATTAAAATAATTTTATTCCTTAAAATCAGTGGCTGTAATTTTACACAATAAACAAATCGTTTAATCAATGATCAAAATCTTAATGGTTTCCACCTCACACAATAGGACTTATAATTTTCATTTGTTTACCATAACATGAAATTCATGGAGTTACAAAAATAAAATTATCTAGAATTAAAAAAAAAAAAAAAAATTGAGTCAATATTCTCAAAAAAGTGATAGTTACATATAAAGTGCTTCTTTAAATAATTTATGTAAAATGGTATCCTTTATAAATATATTTAATATAAAATAATAATAGCATAAGGTAAACCATCGTAAAAAAAAAAGATAATAGTTAAAAAACAGTCTCATCAAATAATTTATGAAAAATAAAAGATTTATCTACAAATCAAACCGGGTAGTCAATTTTATTTTTTAACGATAATTTTTTCTTTTTTTTATGACTCCCATATGAATTATGATTATTATTTTTATAGATATGTGTCCTCCCTGCACATTAGTTTAATTACAACTTAATTCTATAAATTATATATCAAAAAAAAAATTTCAAATTATGCTGTGTTTAAGAAAAAAAACAAATACCCAACACAGCTTGAAAATCAAATTAAAAAAAAAAAAATAAAAAAAAACAATTTAACTTTTAAATACACATAAACTAATTTATATTGTATTAAATGAACGAAAAAAAATTCTAACACATTAACAACATTAAAAAATGAAAAATATAAATATTAATTCAAAGATAGTATTATAAATTGTGTGGAAAATATTAGTTTTTAAAGACTTCAGTGATCAGTATTATATATACAGACAAGTTATTTTATTTAAAAAAAACATTACAGTAGAAAAACATGAAATATAGGCACACATGCATACATATATTTTATACTAATTAAGATAATTAATTATTATATAAAAGGATAATAATTATATCAAAATTAAATTTATGAGTTTTTCAATATTCCAAAGAATTATAAACATAAACTTTATTTGTTACTTGAAATTATTTACAATACAATTTCTAGACTAAATATAGAAGAAATCTACAACAATTTTTTTTTTTTCATTTCATAAATGTACCGAGCAATTTTAAATTATAGAGATAGGTTATATTATATATATTATATTAATTTAATTTACATTAAAAAGAAAAAAACCTTAAATTTTGTACAAAAGTATTATTAGAAAGTGATGCGTGTTAATACATGTTCCCATTACCGATGCCGACATTGTAGCCATGTGGTGGTGGAAATAGACCAACTGGTGTATGGCGATAACTAGCCCTATCTTGGCGCA